TCGTATCATCTCTTCTCTCTTCTGTATGCAAAGCTTTGATTAGAAGTGTTGTGACGGGCTGTCTTGGCAGGAGGGCGCCATTTCGTGTCTACACACTTGATCAGTGAGCAAACCATCGTTGCTCTCTGCTCTTACGTTTTTACCTCAGAATAAGGACTTGTTCTTCACTGGTGAGATTGTATGTCCTTTACAACTTTATGTTCGCAATATGTATTATCTGTCAGTTCCTCTGTATCGTGTTTGCCAGCCAGTTTATGAAGACGCAAACGGGGTGTGCAGAAAATGCTGTATGCAACTAACGTTAGCAGTCTAGCCGCTTCACCTGTAAAATATAAGCTTTGATGTGAAGTATTGAGGTAAAATGACCAGCGTGCAGCCTCTTAGGCAGTTAAAGCAAGGAAACTGGGGGGAAGCGGTGATGTTGCTCAAGTTTTAACGACCTGACGCTACTGTTTCGCGAAAGAATTGTTCATGTGAGTCGGTTCTCAATGAAATGATTGAACCAGTTCACGAGTACGACTGAAATATCTCGGAGCGGTTGAGTAAACAAACTATTTGGATCAACTAAGCACCGTCATCGCACACGTCCGATTTGTAATCAGCCGAGAACTGTTTGGTGAGCTGATGCAACTAGAAATTACAAGAAAAGTAAGGAACATTCATAGCTAAGACAAGAGATGATTTCCTTGAACGTCAGTAAACCGCGCGATGACGTTTTACGTTCTGACGCAAAAGAATCACTGATTCACTTTTTCAAACCGTTTGAAAGAACCGATTGGCAGAAATGTATCGGTGCATTTTTTTTAACAGTGAACACAACCAAAGCTAACCTTTAAAGGGGTCATATGATGCGATTTCAATTTTTCCTTTCTCTTTGGAGTGTTACAAGCCCTTGGTGCATAAAGAAGATCTGTAAAGTTGCAAACACTAAAGTCTCAAATCCAAAGAGATATTCTTTATAAAAGTTAAGAGTCAGCCACACCCCCCTAAAACGGCTCGTTCTAATACGCCCCCACATAGTTGCATGAATCTGACATTTTGTAAACTTTTTTCTAACCCATCAGCAGCATCATTGCGGATGCATGTAACGTTATGTGTGTGTTTGAAAATAAAAACGAAATTTTGATAAATTAATAATAGACTGGTGTTCGTATCATCTATTCTCTCTTCTGTATGCAAAGCTTTGATTAGAAGTGTTGTGACGGGCTGTCTTGATTGTGAATGCGCTGTGTGTTTCGTTGTGAAAGCAAAACTACTTTGTTTGGCCTTCCAAAAGAGGACAATATCCGCTTCGTCATGCCTAGAGCTGATCTGTGCTGGTCGCTGAGGAAATACATCAACTTCACACTGTGGATCGCCGGATCGGCTTTGGCCGTGTTTTTTTAACTTAAACATTAATGTTTTTTTAACTTAAACATTCATATTTTAGCATCTTGATAAGCAAATAGCATAAATGTTGTGGTTTGTAAATCAACTAATCAAAAGAGACAGCTTGGTGGCCTTGCTGTAATGAACAGTAATTTTACAGCTTTGTCATTTCTGGTTAATTTTAAATTATAAAGGTAGTGACCTAATTCCATTTTAAAATGAATAGCAGTTTTTGCATTTGCGGATAAACAAAATAGTAAATATAAGTAAATGTATAATATACTATATTTAAAATTCACCATAATTATTATAGGAAAACATTACATTATTTGTATTATTTTTAACGAAAAATGCAAAAATCACAGCAATATCATAATTTGTTTAAAGCATTAAGTAAATGTACCCTCTAATTTGTGGTGACGTCAAGCAGATTTGGCATGTGCCAGAATGTGCGGGAGAACGGCTTGCACCCTTGCGGCGAATGAGCTCAGTCGTGCGGCTAACTATCGAGACCGGACGGGACAACGACACCGGCCCCGATGGAAGGATGGAGACACTGACAAATACTGGCCCTCATACAACAAGAGTCCTCAGTCCTTCAGCCCTGTACTGCTGTCCAACAGACACTTCAACAAGGCATGTCAAAACATATATGCACATTTGTCCCTGAAGAACAGCTGTTTAATGAAGCACTTTCCATAGGATGCCCCTGTAGATGAGTGTGTGTTGGCAGCGATGCGCTGGGGTCTCGTCCCGGCGTGGTTCAAAGAGAATGACCCCAGTAAGATGCAGTACAACACCTCTAACTGTCGCAGTGAGAGCCTGCTAGAAAAGAAGTCTTACAAGGTAGGTACATAAGACACCCTCATTCATTTTACATGAGCAGTGAAATGGGGTATCCCCGCACAATGCAAAATCTCATTGGTCTAAAATTCAGCTCCACATAATAGAGTGCAACAGTTGGATCCCCAAAAGTAAAAATCTCATTCATTTTTCTTCCATAGGGGATTTGGTTTTTAGCAACAACCTATAAACCATTAAAGACAGACCTACTGTGAGCTACAAGGTTGTTAATCGATGGTGTATGCTTTCGTTGACACCGTCAGCCCCCAATATTTAAACTTTTTTTTTTAAATAATGATGTTTAAGAGCAGAATTACTGGTGACAAACTAAATTACCCATGAATCGGCAGAGAAATCTCAACCAATCAGAAAATTGCGACAAATCACAACAAAAAAAGTACTATTTAATGATGTAATCAAATCATTCTTCCTACACTCTCAAACTACTTTAATATTTGTGTGCGTATTTAGCAATAAATAAAATGTGTTATTTTTTTCCCCAAACCATTTAAGCGCAAACCCCCACCCCGCCACATATTCTAAAGATTTCATTGTTTATGAAATTGAGTGATTGAGTTGACCAATGCAATTGGTAGCGGTGCAGGGTTTCATTCAATTCAGGCCACCAGCCTGCATTATTTCAACTTGTATTTTTAAATAATCATGTTTAATAGCAGAATTACTGCTGAAAAACTAATCTCCACCAGCCAGAAAATCGTGACAAGCGAATTGATCAAAATCAACAGCTGCTCACTCCTATGAAGCACTACGGATGACGTAGAGTCAGTTTCCTAATGTTCCCTAACTACTTAAATATTTGTATTATACATATATTTATTCATATATGTGTATCCCTGTGGGAAAATGAATTGGAAAAATACTGTCACTCTTATGTATTAAACATCAAATATTTTCTAATATTCTGTGGGCAGACATATGATTGTTGCTGGAAACTTCTTCTTCAGGATCCTCTTCTGAAAGGACAGCGCTGCGTCATTCTAGCTGATGGCTTCTATGAATGGAGGCGAACAGAGAAAGAGAAACAGCCTTTCTTCATTTACTTCCCTCAGACCCAAGGAGGGCAAGTGCCCGGTCAACAAAATATACTGAAAATGAAAAGGGACCAAAGTTTGGACCAAGCAGAGGTTAGCCCAAGTCTGACAGTTGTAAGAAGTACATTTGTTAACTTAAGTGGGTCTTACTCATCTGTTTATTCCTCCACTTGTCTACAGAGCGATCAGGATGACAGTGACTGGACAGGGTGGCGTCTGCTGACAATAGCAGGGCTCTTTGACTCCTGGACTCCTCCTTGTGGTGGAGAGACGCTGTACACTTACACTGTTATTACTGTAGACGCCTCTCCAAATCTTCAAAGCATCCATGACAGGTTGATCACATAAAAACTATGAATCATGGGGTTTTTATTGTGATGTTGTAAGTGTCATACACTTTATTGTAATGAGTCAAATGAACCTTGAGTTAATGTGTAACAGGATGCCATCTGTGCTGGACGGTGAGGATGAGGTAAGACGGTGGTTGGACTTTGGAGAAGTAAAGTCACTGGAAGCCATGAAATTACTGCATCCAAATTCCTCCTTGACCTTTCACCCAGTCTCCTCATTGGTCAACAATTCCCGCAACAACTCCCCAGAGTGTCTGCAGCCTGTAGAGCCCTCAGTTAAGAAGGTGAAACTTTTGGTCATTTTGAGAAAAGAAATGCACTCAAAACTATTTTTACACTAGTTTATTAATTTGTCCTCTAACAATGTCCAACAGTGTATATGCAGTACATACATCAGTGGAGAATTCTGGCACTTCTGTAATCATTTCCACATACTGAATTGGTTTATTTAACTGCTTATTTAGACATTTTTATATACTGTACATACACTACAGTTTAAAGGTTTGGGATTGGCAAGATTTTTTAAATATTTTAATGGCTCTTATGCTTACCAAGGTTGCATTTAGTTGATCAAAAATACAGTAAAAAACATGAATTTTGAGAAACACTATTACAACTTCAAATGACTTTTTCGATTTGCATATATTTTAAAATGCTATTTATTTTCATAGTTGAAGATTTATAGTCTGGGACAAGAGTAAACAAAATGTATACATTACAAACATCTGAAAAGTGGAAAAAAGAAAAATCATAAACCATTAATCATAATCATTCAAATACTGACCTTCCACCTTCTGTCCTGTCCAGACCGTTCAGCCTACAGCCAGCAGTAAAGTGATGATGAGCTGGCTGAAAACTGCCTCGCCCACTAAGAGGAAGAATCCTGATGAAGAAACTTCAGCTAAAGCACCTGAAGAAAAGCTTGCAGCAGAGAAGCAAACCAAGCCGACTGGGCCTCTCCAGCAGTGGCTGCTGGGAACGGGTTCCAGCAAGAAACCAAAGACTTGAAAACAGAACTTGTGTTCTTCAGAATGACCAAAGCTGACTAGTTTAAAGATTCAGAATGCTCCCTCACATGCCTAAAAATGTTTGTTGAAATGGCAGTTCACCCAAAATGGAAAAATAACTGAAAACCTACTCACCTCAGGCCATCCAATAGGAAGATGATGTTTATTCATCTAAACAGATTTGTAGAAATTTAGCATAACATCACTTGCTCACCAGTGGATCCTCAGTGAATGGGTGCCGTCAGAATGAGAGTCCAAACAGCTGATAAAAACATCAAATAATCTAAACGACTCAATTAAGTCCATCAGTTAACATCTTGTGAAGTGAAAACTTGAGTGTTTATAAGAAACAAATCCATTAAGGCATTTGAACTTTTAAACTGTCGCTTCCGGCCAAAATACGAGTCCATATTCCATAATAATGCTTTCTCCAGTGAAAAATCTCCATTTATTCTCTCATTTCAGAATCCTTCAACATAATTCTTTATAACCGTTTTGGACTGTTTTCGCTTGTGAAAGGTGCTTACTTTGTGAAACGATTACTTGTGGATTATTGTGATGTTTTTATCAGCTGTTTGGACTCATTCTGACGGCACCCATTCACTGCAAAAGAGCAAGTGATTTAATGCTAAATTTCTCCAGATCTCTTCTTTCGATGAAGAACAAAGTCATCTGCATCTTGGATGGCCTCAGGGTGAGTACAGTTTCAGCAAACTTACATTTTTGGGTGAGTTTCTTTAAGACAGTTAAGCGCTAATTTGCCAAGTATTCAGTGTGCAGTAGTGTGCATTTGACATTGTTCTTTCTTCATAATTAGATGATGAAAATAAACATTCATGTAATTTATAATAGTTGATTTGTGGACACATTTAATTCATTCATTTCAAATTGTCCCAGTTGTCACTTCTCAATAAGTGTACAGCAAACACACAATGTACAGCAGTTTTATTCAACAACTTAATTTTATTTCCATTACTTTGAAATACATTTATCTTGAACAATGTATACGCTGTGCATTTTGTTTCATTAAATGCCATGAACAATTCAGTTTTCCCCCAATGTTGTCTAGATGTGTTTATTTGTATATAATGCAACACAGATAATAATAAAAATAATTACAATAATAATAATGAACATACAGACAGGAAAAGATCCGAGTGATACTGAGCACTTGAATTCTCTACCATCCTGAGCTACTGGTAGAGTCTGGGCAAGATATGAAAGAATAGAAAAAACAAAAACGACAAGAGATGGCCTACGCCACTACTTGTTCACGGCAGACTCGCGGTGATTCGGTCATGCTGACATGAGGATCGACGATATAAAAAATATAAAGAAATACTAATTGTCATAATAGTATGAATTGTAGATCATTTAGATGTAATATCTAAATTTCCCCATCGCATGGTTTGCTATTCGTGTTTTTGTGTTCCATTTTGAGGACAGTGATTGGGCGTACACTAGATTAATTGACTGCAGCTCTCAGCTGTAACAGCGGGGGCAGTGTTAGACCTCCAGTGCTTCGGGACTACACAAACTGAGGAGCGTTTTTGGGTTCACGAGTTTAAGATGCAAATGTAGCATGCTTTACGTCAGGCCGCCATTTTATTTCAAGCAGAATGATGAAGCAGTTGAACATGACGGGTAGTTCTGGTACCAACGTACACCTCTGATACACCCCCCATCTTTCAGCGTTTCACGTCACATGTATTACAACTGCACTGCAGGACTGGATCATATAAAAAAAAAAAAAATCTCAAGAGCCATTCAAGTGTTGTGAAGAGTTCCAGTAGGACTTTTTATGTGGGTGAGGCGACAGTTCTGCAGAACCGGTGCGAGGTGTCGAGATTTGTGTACGAAAACGGGTGTCAGATTGAGCCTCTTGAGCATATGTGGGTGTGTGTGTTGTGTCGTGACTAAGGCTGTGAATGCGAACTGTGTAGTATACTGAATGAGAGGAAGTCTGCTCATCTACAAAGGCCAGTGATTATAGAGTTAAGGGGAGGGGAGGAGATGAAGATCGGGTGAAAGAAAGAACGCATGAGAGAGAGGGAGTGAGGCAGAGACAAGGCCAGAGAGGCTGAGGGTGAAACGCTGTGCCCCCTGGAGGTCCTCAGCAGCTACAAGTCTCTGCTGATGGCTTGGCTCTATCGTTCCGGTCTAGCTTAATTGGCTCGGGGAACTCGTTGTATAACTCCACTTCGGTTTCCTACAAAATTAAAAAGGGCCACAGTTAAGTGCAAAGTATACTTCAGTTTTGACGCAAACACAGTGTATGCGTACAGCCAAACACAACTTTCAAAGTATACTCATTTGATGGTGCATGCAAACACTTAAACTAGAAAGTTGCATCCTTGCCTCTGATTCCGTTTCTCAGAATAAACTCAATTGTTCGAGATGTATAAACATAGAACTGGAATATATATATAATTCAGAGGAAAAAGTCAGAATTGCTAGATATAAACACAGAATTCTCACAATTGTGAGAGAAACTGAGAGAAAAATGCAATTACCTTTTCTATTTTTTTTACCCCCCCCCCCCCCCCCAACAAACAAACAATTGTGACAAACTCAGAGGAAAAAAAAAAAATCAGATTTTCGAGATGTAAACTCAGGATTGCAAGAAATAAACAACTTTATGAGACAAAAAAAATCTGAATTACGAGATATAAACTCACAATTGTGAAAAAAGAAGTCATAATTGTGAGGAAAGGTCAGTTACCTTTATTTTTTATATTGTGGCAGAAACAAGCTTCTACATATCACTGTTGAAAATGTACTCGTTTAAATTAGAGTGTGTATTTCTTAACACACCTTGTGGACAAATTAATTGGTGTGAAAAAAACAAAAGGCACATTTTTGAGCTGAGCGTACAGCTTACGCACGGTTAGAAAAATCTTGACTGTGCACATAATATGCTAACGATGAAATTTGCATCATATGCACAGGAGCTTATGCTACGCCTACGTCATCCGCTGGAACGCCACTCTCTAGTGAATGCATTTATGGCAGTTAGCGGAAGCTAGAGATTACGGTTTATAATGTTTTAAATACGGATATTTTCAAATGCATTGCTTCGCTTCAGAAGGCCTTTATTAACCCCCCGGAGCCGTGTAGAGCACTTTTTATGATGGATGGATGCCCTTTTTTGGGCTTCAAAATTTCAACCACCATTCACTGTCATTATAAAGCTTGGTAGAGCCAGGACATTTTTTTATATAACTCTGATTGTATTCGTCTGAAAGAAGAAAGTCATTTACACATAGGATGGTTTGAGGGTGAGAAAGTCATGGAGTAATAAAAATTTTTGGGTGAAATATCCCTTTAAGTATACTTTGGGCTTCATCACTTCGTTTCCGCACCTAACGCAACACACATATTTCAGCAAACATACCTGTTTGAGTGCATTGCGCGCGATGGTCTGGAAAGCCTGCTCTACATTGATGGCCTCCTTTGCACTGGTCTCAAAGTACGGGATGTTGTTCTTACTCTGACACCAAGCCTGTGCCCGCTTGGTTGTTACCTGAGGGTGAAAAATATGAAAGAACAAAAATGTGAAATTCGCAAAGACTGCGATTAAGGTCATAGATACACCATTATGTTAAAAATGAGAAAAAGTGAACAGTGTTTGCCCATGCGAAAGTCTCCACCATGAAACTAGGCAATATGGCTCAGGCCCTTCAATGTACACAACAGTTTCATAGTTTGAATCAGTGAGAATACAATCAATTGATCAAAAGTGACGGTAAAGACATTTATAATGTTACAAAAAATCTATTTTTCAAATAAATTATGTTCTTTTGAACTTTCATCAAAGAATCCTGGAAAAAAAAGCATCACGGTTTCCACAAATAGATGAGCACCAAATCAGTATATTAAAATGATTTCTGAAAGATCATGTGAAACTGAAGACTGGAGTAATGACTACTGAAAATACAGCTTTGCCATCACAGGAATAAATTACATTTTAAAATATACTTGAATACAAATTGTTTTTTTAATTGTACTGTAATAACATTTCACAATATTACTGGTTTTACCGTATTTTAGATCAAATAAATGCAGCCCTGGTGAACATAAGAGACTCCTTTCAAGAACATAATTCTTAGCCACCCTAAACTTGTGATTTTTGTGGCTGCCAGATGAAAAAAAACATAAGTCTTCTCCCACAGCAAGTTATTTGAAGTGTCATTCACTGGAAGTTCAGCTACTTAAAACTTCTCCAAGACACTTTACATGTATATGGAGAGAGTGCAGCTGGTCCTAAATGAGCTCCCTTGGCCTCTTAGAATGTGACAAGATCTTGAAATATATATACATGCTTCTATATGTACATGGGTCAACAACATGATTTTTGTACAGATCTCTGTAGTAGAGAGTTTATTCTAAGGGTGCTTTCACACTAGCACTTTTGGTGCACATCCGGGTTCGATTGGTTCGTTTGGATGATGTGAACGCTGTCTTCCGAACTCAGGTGCGCACCCGTGAAGAGTACCCGAGTCCGCTTAAAAACGGTGGTCTGGGGTACGGTTCAAGTGAACTCCGGTACGGTTCGCTGCTGATGTGAACGCAATCCGCTATTAATGACGTATTATTTGATAAAAATGTGTGTTTCACTCACTTTCTTGACGAGTGTGACTGACGCGCTGCAAGCAGAGAGCTGTATATCTCATTTCTGTTCACCTTCAGAGTACTTTAGAGCATTTGCAGAACATTCGTAAGGCAGACGTAAGTGCCGTTATGTACTGAAGCTTTGGAAACAAAACCAACGGTTCAAAAACATAAATATAAAATTGAAGAGAGCCTTGCTACACATTTTGCCATCTTCTCCTGCACCATCATTACTAAGCAACGGGGTAAACAGCTGCTGGCTTGATAACGCAAACGAACCACGGTTCGGACCCAAATAATATAATGTGAACACAGTCCTGAGGGGGCAGGGGGAGGGGGGAGAAATCGAACTCGGGTTCGGACCAAGCAATCGAACCAAGTGTGAAAGCACCCTAAAACGCATTAAAAATGCAACACACCTCTAATATGGTGAGCATGTTTTAAATTGTGCCTCTAGTGCGCTTATGTTCTACGTTGGCCCACCCTCAAACACTGTAGCTTGTTCATATCAAGAAGACACTGTGTCCTACGCTGTGAAAGTAAATTTGTTTTATTATCACTTCCGAATGAAGAGGCTGCAAAGAATCAGTGGTTAAAATTCATAAAATTCAGTACAACCCCAATCTTTTTTTATGTTCCGGTCATTTTACTAATGACCGCTTCTCTAATCTCGGGATTCACAAAAAGCTTGCTCTTGAAAGATGGATCAGTGCAACAGACTGGGCCATCTGACCAATCAGAGCAGAGTAGGCTCATGGAAAGGAGGGGTTTAGAGACTGAATCTCAGAACTGCTTCGAACAAATCGTTTGAGAATCGTTGGAAAATGAGGTGATAGTAAATGCATATTTTGGAAAACTAAAGCACATTTTGACCTAAATTGTAAACCTATTGTAGGAGACTCCCAAAACAATGTTAGGAACCTTAAAAATGGCATAACATGGGCACTTTATTTTATTTTCTAAATTTTCATTATATTCTTGATATAATCATGTGAAAAATAAGCCTCATTAAAAGAAACCTGTTAAAAAAAAACCTTAGTTAGTCATAATCTTTTATTTACATTATTACAGAAAATTTACAAAAATGCTTGAACTCTTAATAAATTCGACAACCATTTTTCCATCAAATTAAAGTGATGTGGTACGACTAGCATGCTAAAATAAAAGAATAAAACCTCAATGTCTTAGAGAGAACCCCTGCAGACCCTCATGACAGGAATCACTGCACCCACCTGCCTATTCTCCAGATCGATTTTGTTGCCCAGCACCACGAAGGGGAAGTTCTCTGGGTCACGTGGGCTGGCCTGGATCAGGAACTCGTCCCTCCAGCTGTCCAGTGTCTTGAAGGTGTTTGGGGCAGTGACGTCGAACACCAGCACACAGCAGTCGGCGCCGCGGTAGAAAGCCACACCCAGAGACTGGAACCGCTCTTGACCTGCTGTATCCCATATCTGAATGAAACGACACGGTTCATAAACCTTCTTTCATATACGAACATTCTGTCAGGCTGCATTATAAAATGCATGAAAACAAATGGACAGACAGATCTATATAGTATGCCAGTTACATCTGTTATTATTTTTGTGTTCCTTGGGAGATGAAAATGTCAAACATACTAGAAACGACATGAGGGTGAGTAAATGATGACAGAAATCATATTTTGGTTGAATTATAGCCTTTAAAGCCTTCTCCCAGTTCATTAAAAAGAAAAATGTAAAGCTAGCTGAAGTAATGAGATTACACACATTGGTATGGGGAAAAGAAAAATGCTTCAGCTGCTTTCATTTTTTATTTCAAAGCATCACATGCTTTCAGAAAAATAACCATCTCTACCTGCATTGTGACAAGTCGGTCATCAACCATCACTTCTTTTGTCAGGAAATCTGCTCCTATAGTAGCTTTGTACTGGTTACTGAACTTCTTATTCACATACTGGTTCATCAGAGATGTCTTCCCAACCCTGTTGAGACAAAACAGCGTTTAATCCAGTACCTGGCAGAATAAAAGGAGAACTAACACATCTATTTGTGACTGTGCACAACTATGAGTCATGCCAAATTAAACACTATATAAACACTAATAATGTAGGCCATAACAAAATTTACATTCCCTTTGTGAAACTGAAACTATTTTCTTGAGAATCTATATCCCACCCACAAACTTTCCCATCTGGAAAGCTCGTAAGACATCAAGAGGAAATGAAAGGCTTTTTGGAGGTTTTGTTTTTGGGTGGTTTAAATGCCCAGTGCGTTATGAATCATCTAAACACATTTATACTGTTAGTCAAACAGTGCACTTTATAGCGGTGTATTTATAGTGCATTTTCAAACATTTCGATACACAACTTTGAGCTGAACATCTAAATGCACATATGACATGACTCTGTGGGACGCGGTTCATTTTGCACTCAGTGGCAATGGTTCACACTCCTGCCTTAAATTAGTCCAAGTCCAATTAGTGGACTATTTTTTCTCATGGTGCTTTATATTTAGCAGCGTCACCACTATCTATTTGCATCTTTAATCTATGAACACTACTACTTCTATTTAACAGAATGCTCTAAAATGTCATTCTTAAAGGGATGGTTTACCCAAAAAAAAAAATTCTCAATTTAAACAGCCCCTGACCTAAATATTATGGGGGGGGGGGGATACTATGGTAGTCAATGGCTACCGTCAACTGCTTGGTTACCCACATTCTTCAAAATATCTTCTTTTGTGTTAACAGAATAAAGAAACACATGAAGGTCTGTAACAACTTCAGGGTGAGTAAATGAACAAGAGAGTGATCAACCCCTTTAAAAACTAAATGAAAGTGGCAGTAGCCTCGACTTTATCACAGGGCACTGTGCTGAATGTGGAAACTCACCCGGAGTCTCCAAGGATGATCACCTTCAGAAGAACTTTCTTCCTTGATGTCATAGTGTCACAGCTGGGGAGGAGAAAGCACAGAGCATGACGCCAAGATTTCAACAGCATAGCTCATATGAATAAAAAGGAAGTGAAAGCCAAAACTGGTTGTACTCAATCAGGCCTATTTCAAGGACATGCGGACAGGACAGGAGCCTTGTAGTATGTAGTAAGCAAACTGCTATAGCTACAACCACAATCACCCATTTGATTGAACTTACACACTCTAAGTGTGCTAAAAAGGCCTTTTTTGTTTCAAGGACAAAACCCATGATTCTGCTAGCACTCTCAAATTGGTCATGTGCACTCTAACTACCAAAGTCACGAGAAACGCACTCTCACAGACAACACGTACTGTTGCCTGCCTACCGTTAAACACACAGACTTCCCTTTTTAAGGGGAGGGCTTGAACGTAGAGTTTACTAAACGCTTCTCCATCTTTCACTCAGTACAGATCCATCTGCTGAGGTACTGCTGTTTATCCAGGCCATGAAAGTGAGGGCCATGGATCATTGCTAAACACTTTAGGAAGTAAATCAAAATGACAGCATTACATGGAATAGCACATCCTATAACAACAACCACCACCAACAAAAAAATAGCTGCCATTAACAGAGGGTCTTAGGTCACATGGTGCATTGTTGTGCCAATACACAACATTTGAATGGCAGAGCATGGAGCGATCATAAATTATGGTGATTACAACATATTTAATTAAGTCATAATTTATCCATGTTATGGGTGATAACCGCTAAATGGATCAAATTAAAATTCAATACTATTTTGTCTTAATAAATAAAATTATTAATAAAGGCTAAAACCAATTATTTATAAATAATAATTATCAAATGCTACAACTGAATTTAGGCATCACAATATTATAATGTACAGCACGAAAAATGGATATTCGTTTTCAGATTATTATTTTTTTAATTTGAAGTGTTTGATGATACATCCAATATCATCCGATATGGTACCGATATATTATCAATTCTTAATGGTAATACCAGAAATACAAAATAAAAGTGTCATAAATGGCAGACTATCACTAAAATGTATAATTATATACAACAAAGGTTGGGTGTATTGATATGTTACTAAATAGTATGACATAATAATTGAAACCATGGCATAGTTTAGGTTGGATGTTTCTTTTCAGCATTTATCTCAAATGTGAATGTTATCGGCTTCAAAGACATCACAGGGGCTGAGCGTATCAAGACCACCTCTAACTCAAGCATTATGTTTTCACTTTAACTTCAAAGGTCACAAATGTAACAATATACATATTAAGGCGATATACCATATAAAATGGTACTGCAATACTAAACTACT